GACTATTAGCTCAATTATTGTCAATAAGTACCTAACAAAAAATGTAAGAAAAAATAAGTTGAAGCTATATTTTCATGCAATCTCTACATGGTTGTACAGGCCAATTTTTTTATTTTTTTTTTATTTTTATTGGATAAGGGTGATAAACGAGCACACAGTCCACCTGATGGTAAGTGGTTGCTGTGGCCCATAGACATCTACATCTATCTTCGATTACGAATCAAAATGCAGATTCGTTGTCACCCGTGAGGACTAAGATGGAATGGCTCGTTTCCAGTAAAAAGGGTCACCGATTCTTTACACTCACCATACGAAACACAGCAGCGTTAAGCTGCTATTTTACGCTGGTATTCTTTGAGAGCGTGGTCCTTCCCCGGTCGAGCCGACTCATTCGTGCTACAACCATAATATAGCTGCAGCATGGCTCTAGCACGTATAAATTAATTTTTAAACTGATAGGTACATTGTAACAGTTCTTAATCTGTAGATATTTATAAAATAATAAAAAATGCTATTTTGGCATCGATATTTCATTAATAGCTACTGTTCATTTTTAAATTTTATTTCAATTGACACCATTGACGCTGCCTGTTGCTCTTCACTCAGGTTAGGCCTCCCCTTAAGGTGGAATTAAATGGTTATTTGGATACACTTTGGTTAGGATCTACTTCCCTTTCACTGTCACCTTGCTGTGTAGGTACATTGATTTTACCGCTCAAAGATACCACTCAACCTTTCTTCCCTATCCGCTGTCGGTTCTTGGAGGTTGGAAAATCCATTGCCTCATCAGATTATTGACCTGTTGGTCATTGTCGGTTATTCTGGCTTTAACGGATTGCGGATATCTTCATTGAGGGAATCCGTAACGTAATCACGCAAAAAAAAAACAACTACGAAAATAACTAACCCTGTATCTAAATTTAAAGACACGTATGTAATATACAATACTATCATTAACCATATCATCATTACAGCCTTCAACATTCCACTGCTTAAGATAGGCCTCCCCCATAGATTGCCTTATATGGGCAGGCAGGTTGGCTACCGCAGTTTTTTATTTTTTTTAGTAGGAAGACGCTGCTACTCATCTTTTTGGTTTGTTTTCCTCTGTCGCCTCTTTCGACACCCACGGGACGTTATAGGGTAATCAATCACTCAATATATTATTTTGTACACCAATAAACATTAAAATTAAATAAGTGCACGTGCGTGCGTGCGTGCGTGCGTGCGTGCGTGCGTGCGTGCGTGCGTGCGTGCGTGCGTGCGTGCGTGCGTGCGTGCGTGCGTGCGTGCGTTGTCGAGATCCAGAAATCACCCGTGCGAAGCCTGGTCGGATCGCTAGTACGAAGTAAAAAGTGCTTGGTAGATCGAGATAATATCATATCAAATAAAAATATTTCATATCGAATTAAAATATTTCATATCATGCTTTGACGAATTTCGGATTAATTCCAGCCGTTAAATTCCATCATCGCACATCGCGACAAATCTCTATAACATTTACACCATCTGGATGCTTGGCGGTCCACAACTGTGAGATTTTCCAGAAGCTTTCTCTCTCGCACGAGTACTTTGTGCAATCGTCTGACTAAACCCTTTTAGGCTGGCCTTAAAGGCTGGTAACGCAACTGCAATTGCTCTGGTGTTGTAGTTATCACAGAGTACATTATATATATGGTAGTTATACATGGGCGGCTGCAGTCACTTACCATCAGATGCGCTGATTGATCGTCTGCTCCCTCTCCTATATAAAGAAATATCGTGACCGCAAACATATTTTTGTATGTCATTATCTTTCTCGTTATGTATTTAATTGGTGAATTTCTGCATCCGTAAAGCCGACGGGTTTTTATACACGCCTTATCGTCTGACAAAGAAATTTATTAGAATTCGATTTAATTACGGCATTGTGTGTTCCTTTCCTTAGTCATCTGCTTACCTGTGCTTATTTTACTTTTACAAAATGTTAAATTACTGCTTAAGGCGCAGGTTGAGCAAAATGTCGCGCTAGTCGTTATTTGGGCGGTTTTTAGAAGCTATCTACTTTTTGTTTAAAAGATATATCAACAAATAAAAAACACATTATATTTCTACATAATCTTGATTCCATAAAAGCTATATCCAATTTTTTTTTAAAGGAATAAATATTAATATAATCTCCTTACAACGAAACCACATAAATGTGAAATTATTATTGATAACATGCATCTCCTCGTAAAGTAAGTATTATTTTATTTTGCGATTTACACCAATGGATAGGCAATTTATTAATGAACATTTCTATAGTAAATTTTTTTTCAAAAGACCAAAATTTGATTTTATTAAGAAATTATTTTAAAATCTGGGCATATTCACTGCTCACGGGCTTGCTGGAGTCATTGAGCCCTGAGCTCTTCGACGCGAAGCCCGTGTCGTTAGAGCGTCGACCAGCGCCGCATACACTCACGTAATATCAGTCGATAAATAATATTACTTATTAGGTTATTTATAGGTAGTATTATTTGTTTGTTTTGGGTATAATTTTTCGTATTAGTTATACATATATTTGTTGTGTTTTTTACTGCGCGATGAAGCTTTTTGCGTGTATTTTCTTTGAAGTAAATGCAAATAAAAAAATGAAGCACCATTAGCATGTAAGGTTCGAATCTATAATTAAAATTTCGACAAATATTATAATTTACACTATAAAAGGCTAATTCAATATTATCACCCAACCACAATATCTTATCAGGTATAGTACTGCCTCGTTGGTCTAGTGGTTGTAGTAGTGCGACTGCTGATCATGAGGTCCCGGGTTCGAATCCTGGGTCGGGCCATAAAGTCAGTTATGAGTTTTTCATTTATGTTCTAAGTTATAATTAGTATTACTAAGTTATAGTTTTTTGCTAAAATATAGTATAATATTTATTGCTTGTTTTTTCTTCTTTTTCAAAAAATAATTGAGTACATAAGGTGTTCTATACTTATAATTCGGTAAAAAGTACTAATATACCTACTTTTTACTATAAACTAAAAATTTTTAAAACTAAATTTAACTAAAAAGACTAAACTGACCATTTATTTTTTAACTCATAACAGGACATGGGTTTATTTATACTCTAAAAACTATAACTTTATACAATTAGTGTTCACTATAAAATTATATTCGGTATAGACGGTAATTATTAAATGCAACATATTTTTTTTAATTATTAATTACATTTGTCAGTGGATTAAATTTGCTTTAATAAAGTTGGTGATGATTTTAAATAAGAATAAAATTCTGCTCAAGTTTTTTATTGTTATCTTTGTTAACAACATCGCCTTTAGAACTCTGGAACCGTAAGTGTTTCTTTCAGACGTCCACAATTTATGCAAAATAAAAAAATACTCTTTCTACCGGAGCATTCGTACCAGGTAGACATAAAATATATTCGATTAAAAAAAATTATGTTGAAGATTGTTGACTTTGAATACTTCCATCCAACTAGTTACATGACAATTTTGTGTCCCGGAGCTTTGTTTGGGGACAATGGGACAGGAGACCGAGAAAAGGGACAGTCCCGTTCAAAACGGGACGTATGGTCACTTTAGCTATAACCCGGCGACCATGAAGCAAATACAAAGTTAGTCTTTGTATTAGCTTCATGGTGGCGCAGTGGCTTAGCAATCAGTTGTTGCGCTGGGGGCCGCGGGTTCGAATCCCGCATGGAACAAGTATTTGTATGGCCTACAAATAATTGTTCCGGGTCTGGATGTTTGTCTTTGTGCAATTTATGTTTGTAAACTGCCTCCACGACACAGGAGAAAATCCTAGTGTGGGGGTAACGTTTTTTTACAACTGAAATTGAAAGATTGAACCCTTATACTTCTTGTTGATTTTTGTATTACCTTTATTAAAGTTACCCTTATGTATAAATAAATATAATTACGTATGTAGAAATAAAATTGATTTTCATCCTCATCAATCATTGGGGTGAGGATAATATCTGCCAGCATAAGTTCAAAAATTAGTAGGTAACTTTTCAATACGTGACACGTAAAAATTAACAATAATCAAAAACACATATGCGAAACATCCTATTTATTTATTTATTTTTTATTGCACCAAATATTTGTACAAAAGCCGAGCTATCTATTTATTTACCTATAGTGAATAGGTATCTTTTAAACTCACAATTTTCAATGCTTCAGTTTAATATATAATTAATTATAAAATTTCATAATTAGATAATATATGAAAATACATAATTCTAATATAATGCAACTAATATATACAGAATAAAAAAATTAAAATACATTTATCTTTGTACGCTATGTGTATTTCCATAAAATAGTTTATTGATGTTGAAAAAATAATACTACTTTCGTACAATAGGTGGCGTCTTACATATTTCTTCCGGCGAGCCGCTCGCTACAATATATTAATATTGTAGCAAGCGGTCAAATGCTCAAGGTCGTTCGCATGGAGTAGCCCCTTAATAAACTAGGTTTAAACCTCAACTCGAACCAACTTTGTACAATGTAAGTTAATAATAATCGATTGGTTACACGAGTCAATCATATTGACTCACTTCATAAGTTCTTTATTAGGTACGAGACGGTGGAGGAATAGTGCCTCTTTACATTTTCTGTTGAGACCTATGGAGATATAACTAAAATTTTATCTTGCTTAATTAACAACTTCGGTGGTATAATCGGAAGATATCGCACGTTCTAAATTAGCCAGGACGATACTATCGCCTTTTACATATATTATATAGGTTGTGCCAGCTTCTGTATGCGTAGCTTTCAGATTTTATTTTATTTGAGTAGTAGGTACTTAGGTACTTGAACCATGAAGGATGAGAATTTCGTCAGGTCGTCATCACGAATGCTAGCCTAAAGTATGCAAGCTATCTTCCACGTTTTTAACAAAAAAGTACGTGTTATTAAAGTTTGTGTTGTAATTTTATTAACATCGTCGGTGGTTTAAATTTAGTGCTTAATATTTATATTATTTATTCTTGCAGTGAACCGAAATGGAGCACGCTCAGATCCAGAACTCTGACGGTGCTCAGGTGATGACCATCAACGGTCAGCAGATGCAGGTGTTACAAATGAGTAACGGCCCCCACATGATACAAGGCCCCAACGGACAGCAAATTGTCGTTCACACTATTCCATCTACTGCTCAAGCTATTCAGGTAAGGTTTCTTGGGTATTGTGTTACCATAACTTCCTGACACTATGCTACCTGTTTATGAAACTGGAAATTCACAATTAATATAAAATACATCGTAACTAAATTAGTATAGGTAGATACCAAAGAAATCATAACGCTATCTACCTACGTCCTAATATATAATTAAACAATTTTCACTTTAACCGCATACTTGGTCCTGCATGTTTTTTTAGCTTGGATATCATTTTATTGCCCCTATCAGTGAACGCAACATAAGTATATAAATTTCTCATTCATTTCAACATTAATATTTTATATCCTGTAAATACAAAAGGTTTGACATAGCATTGTACCCTACGCCGCCATCTATTCAGAGAAACTTAAAAAGTGGCACCTTATAATATACATAACTCGCTTACCGTCAAGTAAGCCGCATGCTTTTTTGCTCCCCCTTCTATATGAAAACCCCATACCCGGATTCGGTTGGGTGAACATTATTTTTTTAATATTTAGGGACATAAAAACGATAAAAAAAAATCGAACGATAATAAAATTGTTTATATAATCAAGTACTACAATGCTGTGTTAAATCTCACACATTTTATAGAAAATAACAAATGAACATTATTTCTACATGCACGCAGATCGGAGCTCCTCAGATCCAGGTGGTAGTATCATTTTCATAGCTTCACTGAGATTTTTTGTCATTTTATTGTTGCACCTGTTGCTTTATGTCGTGTAACAATTATTATTCAATGTGACCTTCTTCTATCCAGGTCTTTATTCTATCTAGTGGGCGATCCTCACTTACAGAAGTGGTTGACTGGGATTGAGGACTATTATACGGCCTGCTGGGCAAACAGTTGTACTTGTACATAACTCGAAATATTACAGTGAAAGTTAAAATGTTAACTTTTTAAATTTAATTTACTATTGATATAAAAGTGATAATAACTGTAGCACGACCTATTGCGGAATGTTTATTTTTTGCATGTGATTTACATTATCTTGCATGCCCATAAAATATCACTCAATTCATTTTCCAATGTTTTTTATGTAGCAAAAGTGCGTCAAATCATTTAAGCATGTTTTGAAGACCGTGCAAACCGAGTATTATTACGTTTACATACATGTATACCCTTTGGGTGACAAGCGAAGAATTAAAAAAAGAGTCGATTTTCAATAGATATCTATTACACAATAATCATTTTAAATAATTTCATAACAATGAAAAGCAGTTGAAAAGTTAGTGAATATGCAGTACGCGTATTCACGTGAATAAAATTAGAATGAATGCGTATGAATATTGTATAAGCTATTTTTTTATTACTGAACTATTAATATTACATAATGTATCTTTATTCCTTTTCATTTTACAGGTAGCGACACCTAACGGCCAACAATTGCAACAGTTACAAGTGTTACCAATATCTAGTATACAAGGTAAGTAAGAAATTTATTCAACTTTGCTTAATTTCCGTATTCCTGAAAATGAAACAATAAAAGTTTCCTGCCTGGCTTAGCACAAATTTTGAGTAACTAAGCTACGTAGTAATATGTATATTAAAGGACGGAATGTCAAAAAGATTTATATTAAAAACACATTTTGATTTAATATTAAAGTGGTAGCAAGCAACCTTATACTATTATACAATCCAAATAAATATGTAGATCCGTTAGTTAAAAAAAAAAAAACGATAATTTATATAAAGACGATGTTGTAATGTATATGTAGCAAACCTTAGATAAGGTTAAGGTGCAGTCTTCACCTATCTAATATATACCGATATAATCGGAATACCCGAAATATTTGTGTGAATATAAAACTACTAAAGCTGTAAAAAATAATGTGTAACTACAAAAACGATACATTTATTTCATAATAAGGGTATAATTTATCCATGCTTCAAAAGGTCTATTAGATATTAGACATTTATGCCCTTTTTAATCCTTTTGAGAGCTACGAATTGATCCTATTAAATTATATTCAAAACCATAAATTGTTTCTATTTGTCTGGATGGTGTTGTTTGTGTTGGCATCATTTGCATGTTGCCCCCAACACCCCATGCAACCTGGAAAGTGATATACCTACATATAAAGTTGTAGCGTACACTTACGACCCACTATTGGGCATAGGCTTCCTCTCATTTCTAATAGGGTTACGGAGTACAGTCCTCCGCCACAGAGTTGGCGGATTTCACATGTCCCGATATTTTTTTTCTGTTATTTCGTTCACCCGCCGAGCATGTTGTAAGTTGATACTTGTAACTATAAGCATTCCTTGAGGGAGGCCTATGTTCAGCAGTGTACTTGTGAAGTGCTGTAATGACGATGATGATGAAATATTTATTTTCATTAATATTTATTTAAAACTGATTTCTAGGACCCCATATCACGGGTTCTCCTTGATAAAGTTCTATAAAAATAGCGGATTCGTTACTGCAATCCATCACAGTAGGTAGGTATTTTAATTATTAGATATTATTTTTAAATTATTTTATAATAAAAGTAAAGTTTAAAAAATCACGGGTCAAGTGAATAGTGACGAGTATGTAAACACCGATACGAATACACACTAGCATTCCTTTTACTCGTGTCAAAAATCCGACATCGAGTGGAGAACAGGCGAATACTCGGGCCGAGTAGCAAGAACACCAGAACTAGGCGTTTACGTTAGTATCTAAACGTTGCATAAGACGTATCAATTAATGCCCCCGCCCCTCTGCGTGCAGGTGCAAGCGGCAGTGTACAGCCCATGCAGCTGGTGCAGACGGCGGACGGGCAGACGTTCCTGTACCAGGCCGGCGCCGCGCAGCAGCCCGCCGTCGACCATCACCTCATGCACCAGCCCACGGGTGAGCACAGTGATGCTGATAGACTGTATTAATACGCCCCGATTTCACGCCTGGTATTGTGGGACAATCTTGAGTTTAAACTCGAAACTCCACAGTGTGAAAATTTAAGTCCATTTGACCGTTTTTTATCTTGCCACGTACCATCAGCTTTTAGTCATATTATAAATTACGGTTATATATATTTTTGTATTTATTCTATGAGTAAAACACATACAAAAATGTGTACAGAGGTATTTTGCAATATATGCCCAAATTTGCAGAGAAGGTTCAGAATAAGTAATATAGACGAATGGTGTAGAAAAATTAATAAAAAATATCTTAAACATGGTAAGGCATTATTTAAACTAATCGTCATTCATAAATATCTAACGCCTACTATTTTACTACGCACTCACACATTCGTAAGGGTCGCTCGGTCGGCAAAATCGTTGCGGATTGAATCGCACAAAGAAGCATAAATCACATTAATTTTGGGATAATTTCAAACAAAAGTAGAAGTTGCTCGTATATTTAAAAACTGCAATAACGGTATATCATGATGTGACGGCGCTGTCGACGCGCCACAAGCGAAAAACATTGAAGCCTAAATCGCGCTAACAAAGTTCCGAAGTTAAAGCCGTATATATAGAATAGCTCCGAACTACCAATCAGAGCATTGACCGCTCCCCGGGCATAACACCTTGCCTGGCGGGAGATCTCCCCTTTTCCTTCTACCGGCCACAGTGGTGACCCCAACGTGATATGAACACGCAACCAACAAACCTTCGGAAACTACACCTTCAAACCTTCATCATCCTCAAGTATCCCATTCATTCGCTCCCGAGCAGATATTGTCCGCAGTCTCTCAATTCTGCAAGTCATCTAACTTTACAAAGGTTCGTTGCAGCACTGGAATAATAATGCTTCCTGTTCCATCAAGCTACTCTCTGCGCTACAGTGTTCGGCACGGCTCTGAGCCTTACTGCTCGCCTCTGCTTCACGGCACTCTCGCAGATTACTTGCCTTCTTCTCGACTCACCGCAGACTACAAGGCAATCCCTGGCACTTGCTCCGGCTCATCGGCATCACTTGCAATTGCGTAGTACGGCATCCATTTCACACCGGCATATCGTTCGCACCGGCGTCACTTGCCCTTACGCACACAGCATGCATTCCCCACCGGCATTAAGGACGCACCGGCAATCGGACTGCACTATCGACCTCCGGTCTGAGCAGGGGGGTTATATGGCGGCGCTATCGTCGCACCACAAGCGAAACACATCGAAGCCTAAATCCCACTAGCAAGTTCCGAAGTTAAAGCCGTATATATAGAATAGCTCCGAACTACTAATCAGAGCATTGGCCGCTCCCTGGGCAGAACACCTTGCCTGGCGGGAGATCTCCCCTTTTCCTTCTACCGGCCACAATTATTTATATATTTTAACTTAAATGTAAAATTTAGATACTCTTTGAAAAATAACTCTGTATGTTACGTTATTGATTTAATTTTTTTTTCTTAACAAAAATAAGGGTGATAAATACAGCCCAGGTGATGGTAAGTAGATGCCGTATCTGTGAATATTTATCTATTTCAGTTGCAGCTTAGATGAGGACAAACAGACAATAAAGAAAATACCCAGCCAACTACCAGCACTCGCTCTGCTCCAGAGGCCAAACAAATTACCAAATATGAATTACAGCATGCTCACCAAAATTGATATATTTAATTTATTTTTCTTACAGTGATTAACTTAAATGGCAACCTGGTGCAATTGGCTGGGGTTAGCGGTGCGGTGCAGCCGCAGCAAGTTGTCAACCAACCCAACATAGTCATGGTTTGTATGCGACATAAATAGGACGTTAGAATTTCTATATAGTGGCCTTTTAATATCTAATATTATTAATTGATTGATATACTATATATTATTAATAGCAATTTTAAGTGCCGGTTTACCATGTAGTCAGTGGTGAAGGAAAACTTCGTGAGGATTCCTGCATGTTATTTACTAAATTATATATATTTTTATTGTTACGGCCTACGGCTGCTCCCATAAAGATCAAATCCTCTGGGGCCCATTCAGCAGAGTTTCAACGAACAGACGTAGGTCGGGGCGCAATATGGCCGCGTGGAATTTCTCTAATTACAATAAACAATAAGGGGGAGCGTTCTATACTACTGCCATTCAACAGGGAGAATATTAAACGGAGCTTACTTACCTATATCCAAGGCGACTGGTCCCTTAGGATTCGGTCAGGTCGCATGTGATTGTGTGGTGCAAGGGAAATAAGATGCTGTGATGTGTATCTGGGTGTGACTGGTGGTGATTGACCTTATTAGACCTTTGCCGTCGGCAGCAGCCCGGACGTTAGCACCGCTCCAAATTGAGGTAATCTTCCGCGGCGCCGTCCACAGTCACTTTCTTCGTTCGTCACAATGACAGTCCATTAACTCTATCGTACGATTAATTAACTTACAGAAGCCACTAACTCTCGTTTGTTATAAAGCTTAACACACAAAACGAACACGGAGTGTCCGGATCAATGGTCACTACCGTTTCGCGTGGCAACAGTTATTTCTAGAATATCAAAGGCCGCACTAGCTAATATTGTCGAATGCACTTATACAGATTCTGAGTCGGACCCAATAAGTCCCGGGAAAGGCTATCCAACAAGGAATGCTCGTTACAAATCCTAGACAGTATATTTACTAGACGCCTAAACTATTCCGCGTTTCCCGCACAAAAATTGACAGCGTGCTGACTTTAGCACAGCTGGCAGACGACTCGTGCGCTCGCGCGCCCTCGACACATAGCTCGACCAAACGTCAAAACCGGTATGGCGCCGAGCCGAGCGCCCTCTGACGTCTATCCCGAAATCAGCGTTCGGGCGTAAACGTTTATTATTACCACAATATTATTACTTATTAATACAAAGAAGTAACAATAATGCCATCATCCTAATCAATGCCTGCATGTTTAAGGTAATGAAATATTTTCAGGATATGATGTAAAGTATAATAGTGGAAAAATTGAGATGATTTTTTTAATCTATGTAAGTAGGTATTTAGGCGGCATACTAGATTACTTACTAGTTACTTTATGGTTGGGAAATTATTTTCAGCCGTGGTAGTGCATCACAGCACCAATGAAATTGTGAATTACAATTTTAAGTGCTGATTTATCATGTGTTCGACGGTGAAGAAAAATATTGTGAGGAAATCTGCATGTCTGAGAAATGGCGTCCCAATGGCAGCGCGGCGGCGCCGTTCTTGCTTTTAATTCCTCTCAGAAATAAAAGAAGGCCTATGTCCTGCAGTGGGACGTATAAAGGCTGCTGTATTTGTGTAATTGTTAATGTTAGTAAGTGCATCTGATACGTAATAAACGGTTTTGTTGTCCCGTTCAACAGATGGTGAATGGGTCTGGCGGGGGTGCGGGCGGCAGCGCGGGTGCGGGCGGGGGTGCGGGGTCGGAGGGCGCGGGCGGCGCGTCGGACGAGGAGCCGCTGCTGTACGTGAACGCGCGCCAGTACAAGCGCATCCTCAAGCGACGAGCAGCGCGCGCGCGCCTGCACGAGCTCGGCAAGATACCCAAGGAACGACCGGTGAGCACTCGCACTGCATGAATGAACTGAATGAACGGAATGAACGAGGAGCCGCTGCTGTACGTGAACGCGCGCCAGTACAAGCGCATCCTCAAGCGACGAGCAGCGCGCGCGCGCCTGCACGAGCTCGGCAAGATACCCAAGGAACGACCGGTGAGCACTCGCACTGCATGAATGAACTGAATGAACGGAATGAACGAGGAGCCGCTGCTGTACGTGAACGCGCGCCAGTACAAGCGCATCCTCAAGCGACGAGCAGCGCGCGCGCGCCTGCACGAGCTCGGCAAGATACCCAAGGAACGACCGGTGAGCACTCGCACTGCATGAATGAACTGAATGAACGGAATGAACGAGGAGCCGCTGCTGTACGTGAACGCGCGCCAGTACAAGCGCATCCTCAAGCGACGAGCAGCGCGCGCGCGCCTGCACGAGCTCGGCAAGATACCCAAGGAACGACCGGTGAGCACTCGCACTGCATGAATGAACTGAATGAACGGAATGAACGAGGAGCCGCTGCTGTACGTGAACGCGCGCCAGTACAAGCGCATCCTCAAGCGACGAGCAGCGCGCGCGCGCCTGCACGAGCTCGGCAAGATACCCAAGGAACGACCGGTGAGCACTCGCACTGCATGAATGAACTGAATGAACGGAATGAACGAGGAGCCGCTGCTGTACGTGAACGCGCGCCAGTACAAGCGCATCCTCAAGCGACGAGCAGCGCGCGCGCGCCTGCACGAGCTCGGCAAGATACCCAAGGAACGACCGGTGAGCACTCGCACTGCATGAATGAACTGAATGAACGGAATGAACGAGGAGCCGCTGCTGTACGTGAACGCGCGCCAGTACAAGCGCATCCTCAAGCGACGAGCAGCGCGCGCGCGCCTGCACGAGCTCGGCAAGATACCCAAGGAACGACCGGTGAGCACTCGCACTGCATGAATGAACTGAATGAACGGAATGAACGAGGAGCCGCTGCTGTACGTGAACGCGCGCCAGTACAAGCGCATCCTCAAGCGACGAGCAGCGCGCGCGCGCCTGCACGAGCTCGGCAAGATACCCAAGGAACGACCGGTGAGCACTCGCACTGCATGAATGAACTGAATGAATGGAATGAACGAGGAGCCGCTGCTGTACGTGAACGCGCGCCAGTACAAGCGCATCCTCAAGCGACGAGCAGCGCGCGCGCGCCTGCACGAGCTCGGCAAGATACCCAAGGAACGACCGGTGAGCACTCGCACTGCATGAATGAACTGAATGAACGGAATGAACGAGGAGCCGCTGCTGTACGTGAACGCGCGCCAGTACAAGCGCATCCTCAAGCGACGAGCAGCGCGCGCGCGCCTGCACGAGCTCGGCAAGATACCCAAGGAACGACCGGTGAGCACTCGCACTGCATGAATGAACTGAATGAACGGAATGAACGAGGAGCCGCTGCTGTACGTGAACGCGCGCCAGTACAAGCGCATCCTCAAGCGATGAGCAGCGCGCGCGCGCCTGCACGAGCTCGGCAAGATACCCAAGGAACGACCGGTGAGCACTCGCACTGCATGAATGAACTGAATGAACGGAATGAACGAGGAGCCGCTGCTGTACGTGAACGCGCGCCAGTACAAGCGCATCCTCAAGCGACGAGCAGCGCGCGCGCGCCTGCACGAGCTCGGCAAGATACCCAAGGAACGACCGGTGAGCACTCGCACTGCATGAATGAACTGAATGAACGGAATGAACGAGGAGCCGCTGCTGTACGTGAACGCGCGCCAGTACAAGCGCATCCTCAAGCGATGAGCAGCGCGCGCGCGCCTGCACGAGCTCGGCAAGATACCCAAGGAACGACCGGTGAGCACTCGCACTGCATGAATGAACTGAATGAACGGAATGAACGAGGAGCCGCTGCTGTACGTGAACGCGCGCCAGTACAAGCGCATCCTCAAGCGACGAGCAGCGCGCGCGCGCCTGCACGAGCTCGGCAAGATACCCAAGGAACGACCGGTGAGCACTCGCACTGCATGAATGAACTGAATGAACGGAATGAACGAGGAGCCGCTGCTGTACGTGAACGCGCGCCAGTACAAGCGCATCCTCAAGCGACGAGCAGCGCGCGCGCGCCTGCACGAGCTCGGCAAGATACCCAAGGAACGACCGGTGAGCACTCGCACTGCATGAATGAACTGAATGAACGGAATGAACGAGGAGCCGCTGCTGTACGTGAACGCGCGCCAGTACAAGCGCATCCTCAAGCGACGAGCAGCGCGCGCGCGCCTGCACGAGCTCGGCAAGATACCCAAGGAACGACCGGTGAGCACTCGCACTGCATGAATGAACTGAATGAACGGAATGAACGAGGAGCCGCTGCTGTACGTGAACGCGCGCCAGTACAAGCGCATCCTCAAGCGACGAGCAGCGCGCGCGCGCCTGCACGAGCTCGGCAAGATACCCAAGGAACGACCGGTGAGCACTCGCACTGCATGAATGAACTGAATGAACGGAATGAACGAGGAGCCGCTGCTGTACGTGAACGCGCGCCAGTACAAGCGCATCCTCAAGCGACGAGCAGCGCGCGCGCGCCTGCACGAGCTCGGCAAGATACCCAAGGAACGACCGGTGAGCACTCGCACTGCATGAATGAACTGAATGAACGGAATGAACGAGGAGCCGCTGCTGTACGTGAACGCGCGCCAGTACAAGCGCATCCTCAAGCGACGAGCAGCGCGCGCGCGCCTGCACGAGCTCGGCAAGATACCCAAGGAACGACCGGTGAGCACTCGCACTGCATGAATGAACTGAATGAACGGAATGAACGAGGAGCCGCTGCTGTACGTGAACGCGCGCCAGTACAAGCGCATGAATGAACGGACGTTACCTGGGCAGGCTAGTAACTAGCGTAGTGGTCATGGCGTGATAATAAAACTTCATTATTTTATACTATGGATTATCCTTTTATAAAAAGTAAGAACTAACTTTAAACAACTAAAAAATATATAATAATTTTACATTCTGTATGTATGTGTTAGTGGACTTCAAATTATGACGTCGAAATATTTTTTATCTCGACTCGCCTTTTTTTTGTTGGATTAGGGTGACGAACGATTACACAATCCACCTGACTGTAAGTGGTTGCTATGGCCCATAGACATCTACATCTATCCTCGTTTGCGAATCTAAATGCAGATGCGTTGTCACTAGTGAGGACTAAGATAGGAAGAATGCTTCGTTTCAATAATAATTTAAAATTAAAAAAATTGTACAACCGACTTAAAAATAAATTATTAAGAATAACTCAAAAACCTTCGCATCAGGTCTGACCTTGAATAAATTTATATGGGACCACATGAAAAGCACCAGCTTTCAAATAAAAAAAGAAACATCGAAATCGGTTCACCCAAAAAAAGTTAAGAGTTAACACACAAAAAACATACAGTGGAATTGACTATCGTCATCTTTTTGAAGTCGGTAGAAAAGGGTCTCTAGTTCTCTATACTCACCACACCAAACATACCAGCGTCATGCTGCTATTTTACGTTGTTATTCTGTGAGAGCGCGGTCCTTCCCCGGTCAAACCGACCCATTCGTGCTACAACTATGCCACTAAAGTATAAGCTGCAGCATGGCTCTACCATGTAATGAACTACTGTTTTTCTTCACCGTACACGATTCATGGATACTTAATTGATTGCACTTCAAAATTATATTGTTACCAGCGTGAATAGAATATCCCTGAGCTGCCACGGCTCATTATAGGAAATAACAACAAGTTAATTAAAATACATAATTTAATTTCAGAAATATCTGCACGAATCTAGGCACAGGCACGCAATGAACAGGATACGAGGCGAAGGCGGACGATTCCATTCGGGAAGTAGAAAGTGAGTTTTAACCTTGATTTTCTGTATTAATTAGTTCAATTATCTGAAAACCACCACAAATGGTTTGAAAACAAGTTTCTTTATCATCATCATCATCATTACAGCCATTAACAAGTCCACTGCTGAACATAGGCCTCGCCCAAGAAATACCTTAAACTTTACGTACAAGTTGGAATAATTTTAGAGGTTTCCAATTTTATATTATTTTTTGAAAATCGAAGCTTTTGACCTAGTATGCTCTCATTTATTCCACTTCCACAAAGTTGCTCACGCCTGGTAGGATCGTCAATCCGCCTGCCGAGTGTGACGATGAAGGCAGTCCTCACTACGGATGACCACATATGACTTTTACGGAGAAGTAGGCGTGTCTTTTGTAACATGATAATCTTAATAAAACTACTTTTATGGATTTTTTCGCATTTAATTAACTTATTCATCTTATTTTTATTAATTTCCATTATTTTTATTAATTATTCTACGTAGATCGCACCAAAATTAATAATTAAAAAGCTGATGGTATTCCGGGTTAACTTTAACATCGGGACGTCAATCACCTCAGTCCCCCGTGACCACGGGTGCTGTAAAGCACCCGAAACGTCGGAAATTAATAAAAATAAGATAACTTATTTAATTAAACGCGAAAAAATCTGTAAAAGTAGTTTTATTCAATGTGTAGTGTTCTCGTAAATATAAGAAATCATTATGATAATCTTATGTTCTACAACGTGACATTCTACAAATGTATAATTTCAAGACTGCGTTTAAAGTTGAAAAAAGAGTGCGCAAGCAAGATAGTGATCACCGGCGTTGAAATTTTTGTTTCAACTAACTCACATTTATTTACCTTTTTTGTATTAATATTTTCGAATTAGGTATACAAGAGTAAAAAAAAAAGTATTTAATATAATTTTAAGGTTACTTTATGATCGTTATATTTTAAAGAATATATGTCTTAAATGTTAAAGATTCAGATTCAGAAGACTAATCCTACTAATATTATAAATGTGAAAGTTTGGATGTTTGTGGCGCAATCATGTAAGAACTTTGAACGGATTTTGATGAAACTTGGCAATGTTATAGATAACGAACCAGAATAAGATATGGGCCCTTTTTTTTTATAAAGTAAGTGGAAGAGATCGCTTTTTAGCGATAAGACCGCCTTATAGTACCTACCTCCTTGTAATTTGATTTTTTTCTCGTTTTTTGTGGTATACAATAAAGTATAAATCATAATAATAATAAGTTTTAGTCTATACCAAATTATAGTATTTTTAATACATGGTCCAATAAAATAAGCATTGGTTTATAATTAATTGTGAGCGGAGCCGCGAGTAAAAGCTAGTATGGTATATGTATAATATATAAATATTCATTCTTAAAGGTATACATATTACATTACAATCGTTGTTTTCAGGAGTATGGAGAACTCTGATCAATCAGTCGATACTCATAAACTTTTAGAGGATATCAAGCCCGACACAGTCTCTATAACCATCATACAGGTAAGTTTTGCCATCATCATTGAAAAGTTGTATTTAAATAAAATATTTTCAGTTTCTAGTTTTTGTGTATACATAAAACAAATCTTTAGTGGTGTGTTCTTTAATTTTTACACATTTTGAACTCATTTTGAATTCCTCTACTCTTAGCAATATCCGTGGTTTGGTTTATCCATTTCTAATTTTAATGAATACAAAATATCACTAATATTTCATAAAAAAACATTAAACCTACACTTTTCTAACACTTGAACTTGACCCGCTATGAGATCTCTCAATTATAACCTCATTTTTTTCTTCTTCTTTTAAATTATGGCTTCTCTTGATACAATTCTGCCAGTGTCAAGTTAACCTCATTTCAAAGTAGCGCCGGCCTTGTGATAGAAAAGTTGTGGTACCCTCATTCCCACTGACTTATTCTAGGCAGAGTATTGGCATCTATTGAGATGACGTTTCTATTAAGAGGAAAAACATACAATAAACAAAAATTTAATGCTGCAGGTTGGCTCTTGCCATATTTGAAAATTCTTTAAATCTACGAAAATAAAATACTTATGCCGATTGTTTTTAATTCCAGGAAGAAGAATCTGCACAAGAGCACCAACCAAACCAATGGCGGAGACTCGCGCCGCAGCCGATGCAGTCCACTTCATAGCAAATAAAGACAGAACCGAACCAACTGTAAAACAGTGGTTGAAAACTGTTCAAGTGAAATATAATATGGTGTGAGTGGGGCGTTTAAGTGCGGCGCGCATAGGGATTTAATTTTGGGCGGAAAGAAAACTAATTTCAAACTCCAAGAATTCCATCGATAAAATTACAAAATATAATCCAGTATTGAAGACACCGTAAAATATGAATATTATTCATACATGAATATTGAATTTAAAGCAAAATTTATTTTAACAAATATCTTCAATTTTAAGGATGTTGATCAAACTTTGTATATTGTTAAGTTTTTAAATATCAATAAGTTTTTATTATGGTTCAAGTTACTTGTAATACTTATAATACCTAAACATTCAATCATTACCATGTCTCTATTTGTGTGGAATAACAGTTTTGAAAATAAATAGTAATGCCGTTATAAACGCCCTATGGTTACGAGGCCTAAGAGAAGATTTGTGCCTGATTTTAGTTATATCATAGTTAGAATAATCTTCCATCGCGTTGTTTACGATAGTCTAGTGCAATTGTATGTATTAAGAATCGACATGTGGCAGGCCAAACTGGAATTAAATTATTTTTGAGATAAAGTTTGCTATAAGACTGACCTGCATATCTGAAAAAAATTATAACACTTGTGTTGCCATTGCAATGGAACTGTACAGTAGTTATTTTTTGGGGGAAAAATGCTTAGTTAGTCGATAAAACGAAATGTAAAAATTGTAACAGGAAGGTTCATTTTATACATTAGGCAGAAACCATGATTCATAGCTGTCTCTGTGTGAGCCAATTTGTATTAAGTAAATTACTACTTATACAATATTACGAATTGACGTAGTTTTGTTACGAATTAAAATAACCTAAATGTGGATATGTACATATCTATATATCCGATTGCTCTTTTTTCTGCCGCGTTAGGCGGTGATGTTTTCGGTATTTTAGTATGTATATTAGAATAATATCGCTGTGAAGCGGCGGCGTAACACGCGTATGGGGTATTAGATCTACCGCTATCTATCATTCCGTGGGTGTTGTAAGAGGCGACAAAACTGAAATAGTTGGGCAGCTGCATCTTTCTGATTACAACACAAAATAATAAAAAAATGCGGTTGCCAATCCGCCTGTCAAGCGTGGTAACTATGGCAAATGTAAGGGGTATGAGACAAGGTGAGGGGGAGGTCTATGTTCAGCTGTGGCCTCACAATTAGTTATAATGGAAAAATTAATGTAATGTCCTGTGGCCGACGGTAAACGGCTAGACGGAATTTGAGTTGTAGTGTTTGTTAGATTCTTCTTCATCTCCCAGTGTCAACCAGAGGCTACTATTTTTAAATAACAGAACGATGCTCGGAAAAATCAACATGATGCTTGCTGGAAGCGCATTTCGAGGGACTTGTACCATATCCGGGTCCTTTGTATGTATGCCGATATTTTTAATATTGAGTAAAGATCATTTTTAAATCAAAATTGTTTTTTATTAGTTTAGTATGGATTGACAAATCTATTACCAAATAACTTGTTGCTGAGTTTAATGTGTTTATTTTTATGTGTAATGCAAATTTAAAAAAAATACAAAACACCAAAATTTGATACAAATGTTTGATATCCTCATCCTAAGCTACCTACCTAATTTTATTGTTTAATGTTTGTTTTAAATACTGTGTCGAAGTAATTGTAATGTTATTTCTAGCATTATGTTATTTATTGTTATATCAAGGGTTGTGTTTGTGGAGGGCATAGCTGCGCATGGTACTGTAGCGCACGTATCACATATCCGGTACGTATCACCCCGCGGGGGACAGAATTTCAGTTTTGTCGTCCCCCGTACTATATGCGACTACAGAGCCAATCAGTGCGTGCGAACGATACGAGGGTGACACAGAAAGTTCTTAGGAAATCAAAAAATTAACAAACTAGCAAGTTATTAGTTTTATTATATCTTTTCAAAATAGTGTCCATTTACATCAATACATCGCTGCATCCGATGAAACCACTAAGAAAAGCACTTTGCCCACTCGTCCTTAGGGTTCTTCGAAGGCATTTTGAAACGCAGCTACTGTTTCCTCGGCGTCCATAAAACGTTTTCCTCGAAGTTTTTCTTTTATTTTCGGAAATAAATAAAAATCGCAATGTGCGAGATCGGGGCTATAGGGCGAGTGACCTAGTAATTCAATGTCTGACGTCGCCAAGTAGTCTATTGTTTGCTTGACGAGGCGTTGTCGTGGTGAAGGAGGATCCTACTGCGAGGTCGTTTCTCCCGAACTTTTGCCAAGACAAATGGCAAATAGTTGTTAGTGTACCGCTCTGCAGTAACTGTTTTTTGATCCTCTAAAACAATTGTTGCGTAATGACCTGTCCTTCCGAAGAACGAGGCCACCATCTTTTTTCCACGCTTCGACCTCTCATTCATTGTACGAAAATTTTCTCGCGTTAAATTCATGCTGACGTGACACAGATAATTTTCAATTTGCCGCCAAATCGTAAACAAATGACAAATTAATAAAATACATATACAAATGATATTGGCAGAGTTCCAGTTTCAAAATTTGAACTTATTTTTTTATTGTATCGTTTACTAAGTACTACTAACTATTAGTTCTAAAAACTTTTAGTGTCGCCCTCGTACGCACGCCCGCCCCGCGACCCGCTTGCTATCCCATGATACCTTATTTTCGACTTATGCGCAATAACGGTCACCGCTAGACTTACGTGCCGCGACTTATAAGTAGGGTGGGTTAATTATTTAATTAGATTAATCCTTAATGTATTATATTTTAACATACACTCTAAAAGTATTGTTACAAATCTAATGGGTTGTTGCTGTAAATCTTTAAAATGTTGGATTTGCATACATGCCAAAAATTTGCTATTAATTATTAAAAATCCGTTACTAGGGGGAATGTAAAGCGTTGCAATAAAACATTTTTTTCTGGTTGAGATTGGTCGATGACCCTGAAATCTGTTTATATATTGCATCCAGACAATATTTCATACATTTTTTAAGTTAAGAGTACATTTAGCCGACGCACATATCTCTTGTTATGGTCTTGTTATTGGTAATCGTGAAACGTCACCCCGACGTGGATCTAATGTATAATATTAAGTGTAACAAATTGAAGACACCTTCAAACCATACGTGGCATACATCAGCTAATTATATTTCTAATCTTAGCGTATTTTATCAATGTCTTGCGAGTGATGTTAAACGTTCGCTCTATGTCACGCCTAGAACAAATATTAGAATCATTAATGAACTATTTTTTTAAGTAATATGTAAATTAGTTTGTCAAACACTGCACAGTTTATAATTTTCATTGATACACATCCAAAGCACTTGATTTTGTGGGGAATTGTTATGGCAACACCATTTTAATTATTAATTTTATTTACTGTTGGCAATCATTTTAATTATGTGATAAATATTTATATTAATAATACCATAAAAGTTGCAGTCTTTAAACGGTTGGTGATGTATATATGTAAATACGACGATCATATTAACTTATTAGAATCTTAAGGTTTTTATATTGAAAAGTACAAAATAAAGAACTGCACAAAATTTTTATTGTTTCTTTGTTCAATAAAACCCGTATTTGTTTGGAAATGAAATATTATTAACTTTAATAAAAAACCATTGTTTAAAAAGATTCTCAGATAGAGATATATGTAATACTTATGTACATTGTAGAAGTTACTTAATAATATTACTACATTATTTTAATAAAGATTTGACATTAGTTTCAGCAAACCTACTCGTATATAACATTACAAAAAAGTTAAGTGACGAAAACATTAAACAAGGATTTATACAAACATTTTAACAGTAAATAATATCAAACCTCATTGCTTAAAACATCATAATGATAACAATATATAACAAATCCAAAATTGATACCACACAAATACAACAAATTACATTTTAAATATTATATAAAATGACAATAACGGAAGAAAAATATCAATAATATTTGTCTAATTTTAAGATAAACTCGAAAAGTAGGTTATATTTTTGACACATTGTACATTAATGAATTTTAATTACTGTGGCGATAACTTCACCAAATATTTAGATTTCTAGCACAAGTAATAAACAGCTGGCAACAATAAGATTGAAAAAAAAAACAATTACCCATACATGCGCCCAATAATGTTTACTAAAAGTTACGGGGCCTATACACCATCGGCCATGATTGACAACCATAGAATGGGGCATGATTGTCACAATCATTGCGCGGCTGCCCACACAATCGTGCATCCTACATATTTGCATCGTTATCTGTCCGAGATGGACGTTGAAACAGTAGCAGTTGCCGCTATTTATTTAATTAGTTTATAACTATTATTGAAATATAGACCATAACAGAGTGGGGAAAAAAAGGAAGTTGTTGTACTTGTTCTATTTCGGTATATATATATATGTGCGTGCGTGCGTGCGTGAGTGAGTGCGTGCGCGCGTGAGTGCGTGTGTGTGTGCGTAGTTTGGTAAGTTTATAGAGAATCGGCGATAATGGCCGAACTTCCTTTGATATTTGTTCGAAAAACCGACACAGCGGCCATGTTTTACGCTCGAACATAACCGATCATGGGCAATTATAGGCGATTATGCCCTCTACACGATCGCGATCGCTAGTATTCGTCCATCATGGCCGATGGTGTATAGGCGGGTTTAGACTAAGTCAATGTGACTAAATTTAAACCTAGGATATAATTACCATCTTTATTATTTTTAGTTGGCAACAAACATTACCGGCCCAAAGACTTCTATGTAAAATATTAGACGAGCATTACGGTATAAACGGTACTAAACATTGCGCACTAAGTTACGGTCAATTCTCCGTAACTCCTATAGGCAACTGCGGGCGGGCGAGAGTACTAGTTCTTTGTTTGGTTATTTTCGACAATCTAATACTGATTTTATTTAATGTGACTAAGAAAACGCTGTCCTTATTTATTTGCGCACTTTGTAAACGTGATTTGAAGTTTATTTCA